AATGAACATATCCTACTTTGAGAGCAAATTCAATGCTAGTGTTCTTACATTGGTGTATATTTATATGTTCATTATTTATGTACAACACACACTCATGAGCCATGATGCCTCGGTACGGATCTATTTTATTATGCATTTACGGTCTTGGTGGGTTTAATTTTTTTTCTTTTCTTTTTTTACTAAAATCATGGGTTTGATTTTTACCTGGACTTGTATCTGAAATCTTAATCCACAAATGTTGATTAGTCTGGCCGTGCCTATAGTGTTAGAAAAAAAGTCATTTGTCTCGGCTCCAAATAATATATAAATTTTGGGGTTTCAATTCCCAAATATTAGTTATATCTATAGAAAAAAAATTAGTTCAATAACCCGTTTACGAGAGTTTAGTCAAAAAGTTCATAGAAAATGAATAAAATTGTTATAGATTTTTTTTTAACGTTTTAGTATTTTTTGTTGGTTTTAAACTTTATTTAAACGTTATTTAAAAAATTATGGTTTATAACTATCGTAAAAAAAAAAAATTCCATTTTTTAACTCATCTTGAGCCTATAGAAGCCTTGCCACGGCAGTGAGTCTATCTATTTGGAAGAAAGAACAAGGATTTCCTATAATAATCACAAATTTCTTATTTCTTATTTGGAGTTTAGTGGTTTATTATTATTCTTGAGGAGACTTTTGAACTCTTTGGGGGTTACGTCAATTTCTCCTCCACAAAAAATATTCAATCATTCTTCAAAGCTCGAAATTATTTCCCACGAATATGCAATAATTTACATATGAAAAATTATGAACACTATCCAACAAGAAAATAGATGCATATGAAAAAATTATGAACTATCCAACAAGAAAATAGATTATAGGGAAATATTTATACAATGATATGGTCTCTACATAGCTTACACTACGCAATTAATGTAAATCTACTTTATTATAGAGGAACCAAGAGATCATGAAAATTGAAACCCTCTAATTCATTTGGAGGTATTTGTATCACATCGCTTGATTGCTTGCTAATAACACAACTGTTCCTAATGATCAAATATCATAGCTTCACTAAAGACTCGAGATTAATGTGACATTAACCTTAAATTATGACTTGTCTTCGTCTGACTGAGAGCATGGAGGACCTGGGACCGAATCCACGAAGAATTCCTCTACGCGAATATAGAAAACGAAGAATACTGGTTAGTGATGATAATAGTGATCATAGAACATTCTGTAACAAATCTATATTACTAAGTTTGGAACACTTCATGTCCAAACCACTCTTTTTAAGATTGATTTGATGTAGTATACCTATGTCCTCTTGTTCTGGTGAATCGAGTAAAATCTCTGAATCGGATGGAAGGAAAGGAGAACCGGGATAGTTTCCTAAGGCCCCTAAATCTGCAAATTACAAAATCACCATTTATCAGATACTACCTTAAATGAGATGCAAACATTTAACACTCTATGGAGTATAGAGCATCTACCTATATTATGTTTTAAGCTTTGCGACCTAAACTCGCTAATGGATAAAGACAACTTACCTCCCAGATTTGACAAATCTGCAGTGAGATCAGAGAGGCTAAAGTTCCAAGGAATCTGATCAAATGGCCTAAGAGTGTCTCTAGAATTTCCAGCTCCTCCATCTGGTCCTAGTTGTAACCCGACCGAAGTTGCGACATCAGATGTGAATGCAGAATCAAGAGCTGAAGTATCCATTCCCATGCCTGACATGTCTGAAGCAGCAAATGGAAAATGTCCGCTTGACGCCACAGAAGTTGGACTCACTGGCATCTCCGACATTGATGACATACCACTGTTTGGTGGGGGTATCATTGGAGTTGGCTCAGCCACGGTTGTATCTATTACCATACTATACATCAAGCACCAGAAACAACATTGATGAATAAGAAAAAAAGACATGCTAAGTCTGAAGCAAGAAGAGAAACCAAATTAAGAACAGTAAGTTCTTACTCATTCCCTGAATTCATCCTCATTGGTTGGAAATTCCCAGGTGCAGGGACTCCGTTAACCACGTGGCAGCTCGACATACCACAACTCATAGGATCAAGATGGGGATGATGACCAGGAGCATGCACTTGAGGATGTTGTAGTACAGGATATCCCATAGGCATGTTGTTAACTGCACTGAAACACAATTTTATAAAGCTTTTTGCAAACTGAACCATCTACTTCTAAAATCTCAAAGATACTTGAGATAAAATACCAAGAAGTTTGCAAAAGTGATATAAAGAGTCAAACTTACCAGGTCCCATAGGATGAATACCGTTCTGTATCGGGACTAGAGGAACTTTTGAATGTACAGGATACTTCATGAGGTGATATTGATGCTCAAGCAAATGATTGAATACGATTATTTGCTTCTTTAGTTTCAGTCTGATATAATATGCTCTAAAAAAGTCGGCGTTTTCTTCTTCCAATTTCTGCCATACTAAATTCACAAGAAAGTTTTCAGAAATGGCAAGAAGTTACTACACAAAAATGTTACCTTGTTAATGTTTATCGAATAGCGAAAAGAGACACGACCGTTTACCTAAGGTTGTAAATCCAGGGTCGATCCTTGCACGAGTCAAGAGGGTCTTGACGACCTCATCTTTGTTCATGTACAACTGAAGACATCTTTCTATCAAATTTTGGACCTACATCAAACATTTTCAAAGTACATGTTTTATCAAATGACAGAAACTTACAATGAGATTAGAAGTATATACATATATAGAGGGGAAGGTTTGGCATAGTTTTCTTACAAGTTCGATATCTTGCCTTGAAACTTTCCTACCATCATTACTCGAGGCAGATACAGAACCAGAATCTTGTATAGGAGCTTCTATAGGTTGAATATTTTTCTGTTCACACTCATGTGAAGCTTGAGTAGAAGACTGCAACTCCTGTGTGCTCTGTAATCCAATAGAGCTTTCTTTTATGTAAATCTTAAGTATATATATATCAATGCTAAGTAGCAATCAAGCATATCAATAACCATGAAAGGATCAATAACCAAAGCAACATAACAACAATACGAAAAAATTGGTAGACGAACCTGACCGTTCTTCATTAGTGCTGAATAAAAAAACCACACATCCTTCAGTAACAACTATTCTCCTTTAACAATGTAACCACACATCCTTCAATAACAACTATTCTCCTTTAACAATGTTCACCACAATACAATACAATCCATAGAGCTCAAAATTCTGGTCACGCATGTGTGTCTTAATGTTGTTGACCAAACACAAACCTGAAATTGTTAATTCAACAAGGTAAGAAAAAAAGAATGATTAAAAAAAAAAAAGAATCCATCTTTTAACACTAATTGTATATGAAAAGTGACTTCTTTTAAACATTTGTTTAATAGGGAATGTAAAATGCCAATTAGGCATAGTAATAATAAAATAATTCATAAAGTTAACAAACCTAAATAGCTTCAAACCACACAAAAACAAGAATAGTTTCATTTCACCATAATAATAATCTCTTAAGAACTTGCACAAAAATCAAATACTATGAACTATTCCAAAAACAGTAAAATCTCAAGTAATCCAAAAACACACAATATGGTTCCAAATCAAAACTTCTCCATTTTTTAGATGACAAATCATTGATTTCATCGAATCTGGTAAGCTTTTTTTTTTTTTACTATGAAAAAAGTATATCATCGAGAAAAACCGTCTCACCTTACATACACAGTGAATCGAAAATGCTAACACACTTGCAACACAAAACGTTTTCTCGACGAATTCTTTGGGGGACTTGAAAGATTTCAGATTTAGACCTAGTAAAACACAACACGGATTTTCCCAGGAAACAAAGCGGATTTAGAGAGAAAATTTTGCTGAATTCTGCAGAATCCGACAAGTTCGTGCGACCAAGATCCGGTGGTAATATTGTAGACAACAAGAGAAAACAGAGACCAACAAAAAAAAAAAAAAAGAGCATCAAGAACCAGAGAGAGAATTCTCTACGCCATTAGTGATGAAAGAAGAAGTTGAAATTTGAAGGGAAAGTCACCGATTGTGAAGAACGGAGACGAACGCTAGGCGAAGGGGAAGGAAGAATCCTCTGGTCACAAACTAAATTTATATTATTAGTTGTAATGTAACTTACACTGTTTGGAG